GATCGTAACTAAAATAATAAAATAAAATTTATTAATTCGAATAAATTTTTTTCCTTTCGGCTGGCATTGTTTTGAGTTTGAGGAGAGGAATGAAAGTTGACGCGTGTTGGGTGTGATTACGATGCGCAATTTGTGCATATATATTTTCTGGCCTTGCGGGCACTATTTTTGAATGTAATTAAAAAAAAAAAAATCGGAGACATTTCATATGAAAAAGGGTTTAATTTATACACTGGCGTCTCTACAATATTTATTTATCGCCTTTACCAAGAAGAAAAATATATGCGATACGAGAAAATGAAATGCTTAAATGTTGCTTGTTACCTTAAATATCGCAATGGGAATATGAATCATCTTTTGCGTTTGGCTCAATTTATCTAGAATCAAGATTGTCGCCTGCTCTTAAATTTTCTAATAAATTTCAACTGAAATTGAAATCCTCTCGCTTCCTCTCTCCGGCTGGTCATACGGTGAACGGCGAGAATGAAGCTTGATTTCTATCGCGGACCACTTGACTTCGAACGGTCGAAATTAATTCAGTGAGATTCATATTTAGATCAAGCGCTCCGAAATGCAAATATTCAAAATTGGGGTTATTGCGCTAATGTCGCAATAAATTCCCAACTTTGCCACACCAACAAACCAACAGCAAGCAACGCATAGAACGCAATTTGTCCCATGAAAAATTGGTCGCCATCAATCACGCGGCGCAAATACAAAACTACCGTTCGAGTCTTACAAAGTGCAAAACTTGTGTTGCACATGAACAGATTTGGTGTTGGAATTAAAATGATTTGCGAACGAATGAGCGATGCATGTTAGACAGTCAATATTTTTTGCAATTCGACTGCCTTGTTGTGGAAGAAGAAATAAAAATGAAGCTCACAGAAGCTGTTTCAAAGCATGGGTGCTGCGACACAATACCGTGAGACGTAATCGATGGGGGTGAAAAACACCTATAATTCCACTCCTCTACATCGACTCCGATTTAATTTATTCCAATCGTTTTTCTTCTCGAATGTATGTTACGTTTCTTTTCTTCTTTTGTGCGTTTGAATTTCTTTTATTGCACCGTATAATTCTTTAAACTCGCACTTTTTTCCCGTCACTAAATTCTTTTCTCTCTTCTAGGTGCTGCAAAATACAAGGAGCATAGAAGAAAAGAAGAATGATGCCGTGTAGAAAAATAGGCGACCGGATTTTTTTTTTCCTATGTTACTTTCCTCTTCATTTTATTGTGCAATCGAGACCGATTTACATGCCTTTAATTTTTATTTAGTGACTTCAGACTGCCATTGCTCTTGCCATTGTTGTTCACTTTCAGTCTATTATTATTATTATTTTGTCGTTCGCTCAGTTTTTTCTTCTTCTCGTTCTCTCGATGTTCTCTCCTGTACAACTTCGACTGCTATTATAAAAGCAATATATTTCCATTTTACATCGTACCCTCGACAATCGACAGTTTTTCAATGAATTCGAAGCTCTTTCATTTTGTCAAATTGTTCCGGCTCAAAACCGTTTCGAATACGGTGAGCGAAACAAATTGCCTGCAAAAAAGGAACCAAAAGGAACCCGGATCGATAATCTCAAACCACGCACCTGAACGTCTTATGTGCTGCAAAACAAAGCTACAAAGAAGGCTTTTAATGAAAGATAAGAGCAAAATTGAATAATTCCACGCATTCAAATATTTAATTTGGTCGACCCGAATTTGGCACACAATTCAATTTCAACTCAGCACGCAAAATGTTCACCGTTTTGACAAACGTTCTAAAATCATATTATCAATTGAATTTTGTGTGCTGCTGTTGTTGTTTTTTGCATAGTGCAAAATGTGTCATACGATGTTGCAAATCATTTGATTATATATATGTAACCGGCGGCGTTGGCGACCTGGCTCTGTCTACATGCCTTCGAAATTGTGCTAAATTAAATCAATTTGTTATGTTGTCGTTTTTAAAATAAATTTTCCAAATTGAGTGCCATTGATTGAACATTACTTGATGTAAGTGTCAACGAATGTCATTCATCATTTAACTACCAAAATATGCACCAATTTGTGGCATCAGTCGAACTACCCCATCGTTTCTATTGTGTGTGTGTGTGTGCGGTGTGTCTAGTCACTTGTTCACATTCATCACCCTTATTTGCCGTTGCTGCTTGTCCGATTCAGCCTCGCGTTGTTCCCTCTGTTCTCTCGCATAGATCGGCGCTTATTCGCTCCGATATTACGACGTATGGCTTGCACAACAAATATGAGCAAATGTAATCGAGTTTACATAAATCAAAATTTTCTGCTGTCGATGTATGAAAAGAATGCGGTTTTCAGAATAGAATAATTCACCCAAAATTTCAGACGTAATACGCATCGCGTGCACCCATTTATATATGTATTGGTTCCATGCATCTTCGGAGTAAGGCGAACACCGCCCAATTCACTGGAAAATACCAAAGGCACACATAAATAAACCATAATTACATTTCAATGCAGCGGTATTAACTTAATAATATCGCAGGCTTATGCGATACGCTTTACGCTACCGGTGTAGAATAACCGGGCTGCTGTTGGCAAACGGAACAAAATCACATGAATAAAAATGAATTTGGAATGCATTGAAAATTAGGAACTTCATTCTTGTTGAAGTTTCGATGGGAACAAGATAAAACGGAATAAATGAACAATATGCGCCAATAAGAAGAAGTAAAAAGAGAAAAAAACGAAAAAGCATTTTTTTCATTATAAAAAATCATTTCACCAAGTTCAATTTTTCTTTTTCTTTTATTCAAATCCCATTTTCGAGACCATCCCGAGAAGAAGAATTATTCAAATGAATTTCATGATGATCACACCCGTTCAAAATTAATATTTCATTGATTTGATGTTTTGGTTCTGCTCAATCCTTTTAAATCAATGATAAATCGTTCAATTATTCACGATTTGATCTGATTCGATCTCGATGGAAACCCTCGAAAAGTGTCAGTCGCCGGATAAAAAACGACATTGAAGTGCAAAAACATGTGTTCGGAAGAAAAAAAATGAGAAATATGATTTTTTTTTTCTACCCCAAATCTTAGGCGTTAGAGTCGACTGAAACCCTTTTGAAATTTATGAAAATGTGAAACCAATAAATTAATAAATTATTTACGGAATGCGGTTGAATCGAATGGAAAGGGTGAGACTCTTTTCGTATTCGTAAACTACTTTTTGCAACTGTTTACATTTTGTTCATGGTGATAGAAGGAAAATTTCGTAAAGAGTTAAAGCAGTAAACATTAGAAATGGAAAATAATGAAAATACACCGAATAGCCGAATAGATGGGAGCAATTGAATTGTTTGTGAAAACACAATTTTAGACAAGATATGAAAGTATGAAATAAAAAAAACAACGAAATATTGCAAATTGTGATTTTTGAGGAAAACCAATTTTGTTAGGTAAACGTCTATTTTTTGAAGAGATTAAGTCACTGGCATAATCGAAATTCCACAAATCAATATGCAGTAAATAGTACCACACCAGTGCAAATATCGTACCGATGTAGTAAACAGTGCGTTGATAAGATCAGAGTTTGACTCAGGCGACAGATATATGCTTTAGCATAGAAAAAATATCCGCATATTTTTTGGTTTGTCCACTTTCAGTATATAACGGCACACAGCTTCATCGAGTATCAGCACGCACACTGAACGTGGTAGTATAGGACGGTTTGTTTACGAAGAAAAAAAATGTTTATAAACAAAATCTACCAGAACTATACAGCGCAAAACCTTAACATAGGACAGCATTGCTGCCGTTCAAATACATTGCACTGTACAACTCGGGAAGATTTTGTTTATAAACAATTTTTTTTCTTTGTAAACAAACCGTTCTATACTACCACGTTCAGTTTGCGTGCTGATACTAGATGAAGCTGGGTGCCGTTATATACTGAGAGTGGACAAACCAAAAAATATGCGGATATTTTTTCTATGCTAAAGCATATATCTGTCGCCTGAGTCAAACTCTGGATAAGATAGAAACACACGCGTAGGAAAAACGAGGAAAAATGGAAATTTCTCTTCAACACTTGAATCAATCAAGTTGAAGCATGCGTTCCAATTATGGTCTAGATTATCATCATGATGAGTTGAAATTTCTAATGTAGCCGCAAGCTAATGAAAAAGTATAGATTAGTTTTTATTTATTGAACCAGAATTAATATTGGATCAGTTATTGAACATGGAAGAATCAAATTTTTAAAATTACGTCCAACAAATGATAATGTAACTATGATTTATTGTTGATGATGAATTTTGTGTGTGTTTGTGAATGCAGAGCACTATATATTGTCAACATTTCCTGCAGTCGGCCATGAGTATCGTATACGATATAGGCATCAAATCATGAAGAGAGTGGATAAGTTCTTTATGTGACTAATTTCAAATAGTGACAAATTTTTAAATTGTGAGTTTTGGAAAAGTGCAAAGTTGGTTGCGTTTGTTTTTCTTGCTATTTAGTTATTTTGTGTGAAGACAAATTTCTTTAAGTTTTGAAATGAAATGAAAAGTTAGTGTTCTTTTATTCATTTCGAATTGACACCGTGTCACAAATTCAATTTAAATAAAAAAATCTTAGTTATACTTGAACTTTACTTCAACGCTTTGTTCTAATTCTAGGAACTGTATTAAAAATGTGCAAGAACGGAAATTGTGTCCAAACAAAAAATGCTCTTTCAATTCATTAAAGAAACCGCACACTCATCGCAGACAGTAAGTCTAGTTCAAATGATGACGTATTTTTTTCAAATTAGAAAAAAAATCATATCAATCATACCTTTTTGGATTTTTTCTTTTAAGTTTTACTGATACGAAACAGTCTAAAAATAGTAACAGTAAATAAGTGTGCTATCTCACGTACTAATACGTGCGCATAGAGATAGTGAAATATGTATGGAATTTGAGTGAATATAATCCCCATTTCACTCATGTGTTCAGTGTTTACTCTCAAATAATTCCGTTTCTTTGTTTTGTATTTTTGTACAGAAATGAACGTCAAAAGATTTTTTTGAATTGAATATAATTCCAAAGGAAGCTTGAAATGCTATGTTTCTGAGTATTTCCCATTTATTTTTTTGTGGTGTTTGATAACATTCTCATTCTACAATTTTTTACAGTTGCAAAAATCGAATTTGTCAATCCTGGTTGATCGGTAGAGGATCGGATAACGTTCCGAATGATTGAAGAAGCTGAAGAGAAAGGTTTGCTTAAACCTGGTAGTATTGGAGAGGTCAATCCAGGCAATGTGATTTTTTTGAGAGAGAGAAAGTGAATTTTAATCCATAATATTCCCGCGTAGTGTTTCAACGGGAGAAATGAGGTTGGTTTTTTAGTAAATAAATTGTGAGAGATAAAATTTTGAGCAGCAGCAGCAGTGGCAGTAATAACTCGAAAATAAAAATTCTTTTTCGGCTATAAATTAAGATTATGCAACAAATGTTGGAAAAAATGAGAAATATGATTTTTTTCCACCCCAAATCGTATTGGCATAAGAGTCAACTGAAACCCTTTTAAAATTTATGAAAATGAGAAACCAATAAATGAACAAATTATTTACGGAATGTGGTTGACCCGAATTGAAAGGGTGGGACTCTTTTCGTATTCGCAAACTACCTTTTGCAACTGTTAACATTTTGTTCATGGTGATAGAAGGAAAATTTCGTAAAGAGTTAAAGCAGTAAACATTAGAAATGGAAAATAATGAAAATACACCGAATGGATGGGGGGAGTTGGAATGTTTGTAATACCAAAGTTCTAAACAACAAAAAACAAATCGAAATATCGCCAATAGTGATTTTAAAACATAAATAACTTAAGATAACTAATTTTGTCCACAATGATTTTTTTGAGGAGATTAAGCAATGACCCTGTCGTCGCTGGCATTATCGAAATTCAACAAGTCAATGTGCAGTAAACAGTGTTACACCAGTGCGAATATCAGACCGATATGATAACAGTGCACTGATAATATAAAAACACACACGTAGGAAAATGGAAATTTCTCTTCAACACTTAAATCTTTCAGATTGAAGTGTGAGTTCCAATAATGGATGATCATCATGAATGCAAAGCAATACATATTGTCAATAATTTCAGCAGTCGGTCATAAGTATCGTATACGGCAGAAGCTACAATTCGTAAGAAAAGTGAATAAGTTCTCCGTGTGAATAATTGCAATAGTGACGAAGTTTTAAATTGTGAGTTTTAGAAAAGTGAAAAGTTGGTTGTGTTTATTTTCCTTGCCATGCAGTTACTTTGTGTCAAGACACATTTGTTTAAGTTTTGAAATGAAATGAAATGAAAAATGAGTGTTTTTTATTTATTCCAATTTATTCTGAATTGACACCATGTCAAAAATTCAATTTAAATAACTACTGCTTTGCCTGATTCAAATCTTAGTGATACTTTAACTTTACTTATGTATACTTCAATGCTTTGTTGTAATTTTAGAAACTAAATCGAAAAATGGCCGTGAACGGTGAATTGTGTCCTGACAAAAACTGCTACTTCAATTCATCATGGAAACAGCACACTCATCGCAGACAGTAAGTTCAAACCATGACGCAGTTTTTATTAAATTTAAACGCAATACAAGCCATAAACAATTTGTGTGATAAGAGTGCTATATATAGCTATCTTTTTTCATTTGACATTTTTCCGCGCAAACTACTCATATATAACATTTGAGTGATTATACTCTTCTGTTTTTCACTCATGGATTCATTGTCAAATAATTTCGTTTCTTTGTTTTTTTTTTGTACAGAAATGAACGGCCAAAGATTTTTTCAAATATTATGGAAATAGTCGGCAATACGCCGATGGTGAAATTGAATAAAATTCCGAAGGAAGCTGGCTTGAAATGCGATATTTGTGAGTATTTCTTATTTAATTTTTTTTTTTGCAGCATTTGAAAATATTGTCATTCTACATTTTTTTATAGACGCAAAAATCGAATTTGTCAATCCTGGCGGATCGGTAAAGGATCGTATGGCATTCCGAATGGTTGAAGAAGCTGAAGAGAAAGGTTTGCTTAAACCTGGTAGCATTGTTATCGAACCAACTTCTGGTAACACTGGAATTGCATTGGCGTTGGCATGTGCAGTTAAAGGGTACGAATGCATTCTGGTGATGCCTGAAAAAATATCGCAAGACAAAGAAGCAACGATGAAACTTCTCGGAGCTAAAATTGTTCGTACACCAAATGGCAAGGCTCACGAGGATCCTGAAAGTGTATTCGAAGTGGCCAAAAGATTGAATCGCGAAATTTCAAATTCAATAGTATTGGATCAATTTGTGAATTGCGCCAATCCTTTGGCCCATTATGATGCAACCGGTGAAGAAATTTTGCAGCAATGTGATGGTCATGTGGATATGGTTGTGGTTGGAACAGGCACTGGTGGCTCTATAACCGGAATTAGCCGTAAAGTGAAGGAACAGTGTCAAAATTGTGAAATAATTGGTGCAGATCCAGTAGGGTCCACATTAGCTTTACCCGAATCAATCAACAAAACCGATGTCACCACTTGGGAGGTTGAGGGAATTGGTTACACTTATGTTTTTGATACATTGCATCGCCAACTAGTTGATCGTTGGGTTAAAGTTGATGACAGAACTACTATGCGAATGGCTCGGCGATTGATCCGCGAAGAAGGCATTTTGGGTGGTGAAAGTAGTGGTGCGATTTTGGCAGCGGCACTTGTGGCCGCTCAGGATTTGAAAGAAGGGCAGAAATGTGTCATTATTATCCCAGATGGAATCAGAAATTATATGTCGAAATTCGTTACGGATAGTTGGATGGAGGCAAGAGGATACAAAGATGTTGTGAACGAACACAACCACTGGTGGTGGAATCATAAAGTCGAGGATCTGACGTTGCCCAAAACTAAAGTGATCCAATCGAGTGCAACCTGCAAAAATGCTCTGGAATTTTTGAATTCAAATGGATTGCAACGAGTTGCAGTTGAGAATAATGATGCGTAAGAAACAAAATTGATAATATTTTTTGTAAAAAATGGAAATATCATTTGAATATATTTGCTTTTCATATTTTTCAAATATAACGAATCGTTTTCTTTTCGTGATTTCAGTACATTGAACGGCTTCGTTGACTTGAAATATTTGATGAAAAAAGTGGTTAGTCAGAATTATCAATTGGAAGACACAGTGGAAAAGGCGATTTTTCAAAAATTCTATCGGGTAAAACAAGACTCGATTCTTGGTTTGGTTTCAAGACTCCTTGAAACTGAAGGATTTGTAGCTGTTGTGGACGGTGCGGATCGCGTAACGGGTGTCATTGACCAATTACAACTTCTGAATTTCATTTCAAAAGCATAACGGAATAAGAACAATCATTGGAACTTGTAAATTTAAATCATGAATAGTTTACAAGAAAAAAAATCATGTGTTAGTTTACTTTGTATATGAAATTTTGGAAATGTTTGATCATTTAAATAAAAAATGTTAAAGACATTTGAATGTAATGAATATGTGGAGCGAGTTCGTTCAAAATCGACTCGAATTTTCTTCAATTGAGAGAGAGAGAGAGAGAGAGAGAGAGAGAGAGAGAGAGAGAAAGAAAAAAGTGAATCTCAATCCACAATATTCCAGCGTGGTGTTTCAACGGAAGAAATGAGCTTGGTTTTTGAGTAAGTAAATTGAGAGACGCACTATACGTAATGCCAAGTCAATAAAATTTTGAGCAGCAGCAGCGGTGACGGCGGCAGTAGTAGCTCGAAAATGAAAATTCTTTGTCGGCCATAAATTAAGATTATGAAATGAATGTTGGAAAAAAAAGGAGGAAATAAAAGAGTGAGCTAGTGATACGCGCATATGAATTTGCAAGAAATGGTGCCCAACTGGCACTTATAAATACTTGTAATGTTCCCTTTTCATTTCGAGCGCCCATGCACAAACACCGCACAATGAGACAAACACACGCGAGTGAGAGAGCGCGCGACTATTCGCAATTGTTGTGCGCTTGTGAAGAGAGGCGGAGGCAATAAATATATATAAATAGATGTGTGTATGTGTACAACAAACAGAAATATTTGCCAGACGCTCTCGTTCACTTCTTGCTAGAACGCGCTACCACTATTTTCGCTGTGGACTCAAAATTGATGCACGTTTTGGAATTTTTATAGACTAAATGTGCAAATGAATACATACTTACTCGACTCATTCTCTATCTCGCTCGTTTTCACTCACTCACTCTGCCACCTAGTCGTTCACAAATTTCGCGTGGAACACACATTTTCCATCTTATTCGTTCGCATTTTTTTCTTCCTTCTTTATTATATTCACATTTTATTTGCTGGCTTTTCTCGGGAACTTCACTCACTTTTTGTATTTATGGCACTATCTTCCGTATACATATCGAGAGAGAGAGAGAGAGAGAGAGAGAGAGAGAGAGAGAGAGTTTGTGTGCAGCAGTTTGAATTTTTGCGGCGCATACCACGGAGTGTATATATTTATTAAAATACTGCGCTTGCATCCATGAACACATGTAAAGTGTATATTTCGGAATTTTGCATGTTTTTACTGCGAAGCGTTTTGAGTTCGGTTTTTTTTTGCTGACCATCCGAATGCTAATTCATCGCGCACATTTTTTGCTGCCATCATGGATTTTCGCATAATTCCGGAATAGATACACTGAAATGAGCCGAAACAAACAGCACAACAACAAATGCACCATTTAGAGGTGTTCGTTTGTTTTTGTATCTGCACCAGTGAAAAGTGTAGCAATGATTTGTTTCTATTTGTAATGTTAAACTTTTGTGGAAAAAACCGGAATTATGATAATTGGAAGTTGGCTAACAAATTTCTGTGGTTTACGTGATGGAAGCGTTTGTGTCGGTTTTAATTAGTGGTTCGTCTAAAGCTACAGTTGCGTATGCCATCCGGAACAATTCTTGGTCAAAACAATTTTCTCGGAATAGTTCGTTGATGGTTCAATTCAATGGTTTCAATTACTCTTCTTCTCTGCGCCCTTTGCGAATAATAGCGATACAACCTCAATTTTATAGTTACGATGGGTTAGGAAAAGGGTTGCCATTTGAAAATAGTTTACCGAATATTTGCAACAACCATTTTCCGAATAAAACGTATAATTTATTTCCATGGCCAAGAAATTGATCTTGGATAATAATAAAAGATATGTAACAAGCGATATCATTGCATTAAATTAAGTCATATTAGTCACAGATATGCTTCGGTTCGATATGTTCGCTTTTTACAATGATAACCCCATCGAAAATGGAGAGTGCGACCGCACATAAACCAGGCCAGTTGAAACAAACAAACACACACACACACATTTCGTACAAATGTTTCGAATGCGGTTATAATACGTACCACCGAAACATTGTGGTTGAATCAGACGAAGAGTCAGCCAGTGGACATTCGGTAGCGAAATGAGAAAGGATGTAAAATGGAATCGATATTATATCAGTTAAGCCCGAAATGGAATCAAGAATAGTTCGATGTGAAAGTGCTGATCATCAATCGATTTGACTTTTAAATGTTTGACATAAAAATAATGCTGATTATCATGTGGATGTCCTCTGACTTAACCTGGCGGTCGTCGAACAATTTCTACCTCCTCGAAATCGGATTAGATTGAAGACGATAGCCGTATGGCATTGCGTCTAGATGCTAAATGGATCATCGATGTTCGAAAACAACGCATTTATTCGTACACTTTTTTTCTTTTACCAAAATGGTTATATTTGTCTCCATCCTTGAGAAAGAAAAGCAATGATTATTTCTTTTTTCGTCGGTTGAGTGTTAGTAAGTGATGAAAAAAGAGCACAAAACCAATGGATGAGAGCATCAGCGGGCAGTCGTCTATTGTATTTCACTTGCATCAGAAAAAAAAGTATGGACCAGTTTAGACGAAGGGAACAAACGCATTTTGGTCGGTTGGTACGTCGGGGTATATGTTATGTAATATTGATAAGAATATTGTTATTTTTAGGCCGAATAAGTGTTATTCGATATTTTGGAAGGCTATTTCATGGTCATAACATAAAATTTTACGTTCTCTAGCCCCCAAAATACACACACGCAACGCACTCGCACACACTATGGCGATAAAGCACATATGCTCTCATCTTCCACTTCTACGAGCATCCCGTGCAATTCTTATTCATGTAATAAAATAACATGACATTAAATAATAACGCATGAGGATGGGCACTTGAAACAAACAACCGTAGAAAGAAGACAGTGTGTAAGAGAAAGAGAGGGAGGGAGGGAGAAAAAAAAATGACTGAATTTACTTGGCCATCCACTTGATCCTTTGCCTAATACACATATCAGATGTGTTGCTGATAAGTCGAGAAGTTGGTTTTTTGTTTGTTTGTTCGCTTTCCATTTCGATTGAAATGCATGTATGAGGCGGCGAAATGATCGAAAAGTGTTTTGATGCGAGCACAAGAATGACCATAAATGATACTTGACCGTGTGCACTTTGGTCATGGCACTTGTTTTCTGCTTATGCATTTATCGGAATTAGAAATGAAGATTCCTCTCTCTCTCATAAAATGGATCAACTTTTATGGAAAATAAATGCGATGCCGAATCGACAAATTATGCATTAAATATTTATTTTCCGACGCATTTTGGCCAACATGCTCTCGACGCGTTCTTTTATCATATTGAAATAATAAATAAGACAAACACTTTCCTTTTTATGCCAATCAAATGTGTAGAACTAAGCCGAAAATGTTTGCACTTTTAGCATAATTTCATAATAACCGACGCCACTTGACGTTTCGACACATTCGATTACGAACTTCAATCATATATTTCTACCAGCACGAATTAATACACTCCAAGTGCTCATTCATGTTTATACGAATGTTAACATACTATGGCATTTCTATGGATTTTCAGGCCGTAAAAAATTATTTGATTTCATTTTCTTTTTGCGCAAATAAGTGAAAAAGAAGAACTACAGAAAATAAGCTCTTTTGTCGATTTGCAAGAGGAATTTCAGTACCAAAAGTGTCATGTAGTATAAACGTAAACATCATATCTTCGCGCATTCAAAATGAAATGAAATCAGCAAATAAAACGGAAATCACAAAGATAATAGTAACCGTAAAAGTTGATAGTGGCGCAGACAAAATTGGAATTCACATCACAAACGGAATTTAGCCAATGTGTTTGTGATGATTATTTTTATGATAATCGATCGATATATCGTTAAGATATTATCGAAAAGCGAAGTGGAAATGTGAATTGGCATTTTGGCTGAACAATAAAAAATAATCGCTGATATTTTAGCTATCACCACAAAATTCGATTGCGTTTCATAAAAGAATAAACTCAGTGTGTGAATGTGTTTGGAACAATGAGCGAGCAAATCAAAATAGAAACGATCGAAATTTGCTGTGAGCAACAACAGGAACTATATGGAGACGTATAGCAAATAATATTAGGGCCAAATAATGATGCGACCTTCTCACAACACAGCACAGCACACTAAACACAAGCAATTTTATTCATGCGATCAATCTGATTGCAGGAAACTCTCTCTCTCTCTCGCTGGGTCTCGTAACAATGTCCGAAATATTTGCTGATTGTATGCTAAACAGTAAATTATAAACGAGTTGGATTCTATCAGAACTCATGTTACAATCTGCATCTCTTCCGTATCGCTCTGTGATGTGATGCAATGCACTGAGATGGATAAGCCTTTACCAGCACACGGATGGATTGTGAAATACATTAAAAACCGAAATTCTAGTCAAATGCAATCCAAAAACACACGGACTGATGATACACATAAAATGTGCAGCCGTAAAAATGATATGCAGAATAATCTGGCATTCAATTGCATTTGTTTGACTTTGTAGTGGAAAGTGTATGTGCGCGAGTGTGTGTGTGTGTGTGTGCTTCAAGCAAAGCGATAGACGAGAGCATCACAGAGTACATATATTTTATGCTGTGTTCAGAACAGTGAAAAGCATGCATATATGTGGAGTATTCGAATTTGAATGCGCGATGACTGTAGAACTCGGTTCAAGGTATGAATAAGTAATTCTGGATGCTTTCTGTCTCGTTTGCTCGGTGTATCTTGCATCAAAACATCGATTTAAATACAAATACATCAAATAAGATTAAGAATTCATGGTTATCTCGCTTTTGAATGAGTGTGCTCTCTTCATCTAGCCAACAAGCAAGTAGATGCGTGCATGAGCGTTGTTTGCTCTCTCAATTTGCATACCAACAGAGTCAAAGCGATGTAGAAAAAATGCATTTACATGGAAATACTCTTTTTGATCAGTGCAGAAATGATGAAGAACGATGCAAAAACCCACTTAAAGTTTAGGCTTTTGAAGCATTGCACGTTGGGTGTGATTTAATCCGAAATCCCGAGACGACTTGAGTTTCAATCAAATGACACTTTTGATGCACTTTTCTTCTTTCTGCAATTCATCAAACACTTTGCTAGGTCAGATGATTCGATTTTAATTCCTCAA